TCCTGGGACCTTTGTATTTCATGTGAATGAGGAAGTGACATCATTTTTAGAAGAATGGATACAGGTAGAAACAGTCATGGTGGAGAATGGGGAGGAACCTGACCACTAGAAGAACTACTGAGCCAACACTGAAGACCTATTGGAGTTGAAGACTATGAGTACGTAGGGTCAACTATCCGTGTCCCATATTCATATAGGATTTTCTCTCAGTATGCTACTCATCCCAAAATGGGACTAGCAATGGTAAACAGCTATAGAGAAGGTTGTCAAAGAGAGCAGTATTGCAGTGTGAGCTCTCCGAGGTGGGGTACTCCAGAGGGTAACAGGAGCAAGGTGGAAGCTGTGGGAGTGGAAGTCAAGAGGAAAGAAAGTCACAGAGTTAAAGTTGAGGCAACATGAGGTGAAAATATTGCTTTGGTCATCCACATGATCACCTCAGCTTCCCCGTATGACATCAAGACTTGGGGCAGTATAAGACTGAACAAGCTGGTAAGTATTCAAGGAGCATGGGATTGGTCAAAATGAAAGGAGACAGCAAGGAGAGGTCAGAGGTAAGACTTTTACACATTTCTTAAGGAATCATGCCATGAAGGTCGACCAATAGTTCCTTCAAGTGAAACATCTTGCTGTTCCTCTCAGAGATCCTGGAGGACCCCCCATCCCCTCTCTCTCTCTCTCTCTCTCTCTCTCTCTCTCTCTCTCTCTCATACACACACACACACACACACACACACACACACACACACCTTGTTCCAACCAGAATGGGCTCTCTCTTTTCTGTTTTAAATATTGGATTCCCCATAAGACTTATTTTAAAAAGGTGTTTGTGAGAAAGAAAAATAAACCAACAAAAAAACTAAACACCACTAATGAGGCTCAACCATTCCATTCAACACACAAATGAGCTCAAGACTACCCAATGTGTTGATGGAGATGCCCACATCCTGCTACAATACCATACAGTTTGCACTCTCCCCTAAGACATAGCCCGGAGAGCTAATGCTTATTGATGAAACACCCTTGTTAAGGCTGATGAGTTGAGTCTGCTGAGGTCCAGCAGAGTCAAGCACTGGGGGAGGGAGGAGCAGCGGCCCCAGTGGGTCCAAAGAATGAGAGACAAGAGGAGGAGAAATGAGGATGGACAAGCCATGGAGAACTCTGGTAAATGAATCCAGTCTAGTGGGGAGGCCAACTTAGTAACCAAGCAATAAAGGTTGAGTTCCTCCTGCCTCTCACTATGCTGAACCTTAAATCATGGAGGAGTTTATGGGTCCTGTTTAAGCAGAGACTCTTTTTATAAGCTATTCAGAACAGGGGTGGAAGGCGAAATAGGGAGAGAATAATTCCCTTTGAATTTCTATTGCTTTCAGAATCAGCAATGAGTCATGCATTCTAATTCCTTGCTTTGTCTACACATTTTTATTTCAAAATATGAAAAAACACTTTGTTTGGAACACGAGCTATTCTTAGCTCATATATCAATAGTGCACATCCATTTCTCCCCATATTAGAAGAGCTTCCTTTGGATTGGGCTGGAGCAGCACCATACTAGTAAGGTTGTTTATTTAATTGCAATTTGTTGAAGCCACCTGGGCATCTCTCTGTTACCTGGGGACACTCTCCTAGCTGGCTTCCTGGGCCTACTGACCATCCACAAGTCAGCTCCATACTTGACCCAAAGAGCACCCCAGATCCAGTAGTCTGGACAAAAGTAGGAGACCATCCTTTTAGGCCACCAGATTGAGAAGTTGGCACCTTGGCAGACCCGAGATAAGTCAGGGCTCCATTGTTGTGTGCACTTGGGAGACTCTTCAGGGAAAAAGAAGTAGAAAAGAAAGAGGTCCCCATCTATAAGTTATCTCCTGCAGACATGGCCACACCTTGGCAAAGACATAGGAATAGAAAGTCTGGGGAATTCTGCAATCCTCTGAGCTGACAAGCAGGAGGAGAACCACTGGGAGGAAGGCTGGGAGGAGGTCTTTCTTCTCCAGTCCCCGCCCTCTGTATAAGGTCTCTCTCCACACTCCCCTGCAGACCGCCCCCCACCCCGCCCACTTATCCACCCCATTGTGCTTGTTCCACCAGTGATAGTTCTCTGGGTCTCGCAGGGACCACCTTCTTTTAAAGACTGCAATTTAAAGCATTAATAGTAAGCACCTTATCGGCACTAATGGGTAGTCAACCAACTTCCAGAATGGAAGAAAACCAATATTCCAGGAACTGTGGTGAAGAAGTGCCCCACGACTCTAGCCATTGCCTCTCCCCATTTCCATCCACATATTTATAGTGGAAGCAGCATGTTCATAACCTCTGACTCTCCTATCCTGGATACTATTTATTTGATCAGGAATGGGCAGCAATGAGCCTGTTCATGGGGAATTTGGAATTGAGACAATACTGATTCCCAGCCAAGCCTGGAAGACAAATTGGGAGCTTTTTGACAAGAATAATTTTCATATAGTCATAGAAACCAGAGAAGTGTGGACAGGTAGAGAGGAGCAGCTTTATTTGGTTTTCAAAATCCCTCTGGGCCTACGGGTTATCCATCCTTTAGGCCTTGTATTCTATAAGACACCTCTCCCAACCCCTGCCTGAAGTCTTTCCAACAGGTCTCTCTTTTCACTTAGGAGAACGCTACTGGACTTCTGCTACTTGCAACCAAAATGGTACAAGGAAATGTGAAAATGATCCAGTGGGAAGATGGGACACGTCGAGGAGACTCCTCACTTGATAATTTTGCCCACCCTGCCCACGCCAGGCACAGCCACCTAGGCAACTGCCCAGAGGGCTTGAGATCTGAGGAGGCCTCCGATGCTCTGTAGGCTTGACCCACTACCCAGCCTGTGCTCTAGCTGAAGGAGGTCCCAGCCAAGGGACTGAAGGACAGGGAGGCAATGTACTCTGAGGAAACCTGTGGAGCAGCGGTCGCTAACCGGTGGTCCGTGGACCACTGGTGGTCCGTGAGGTCTGAAAGGTTGGCGACCGCTGCTCTGAGAGACCTCACTGCTGGAAAGTGATGTGGGACCATGCTCCAAATGAGCTGTATTTCCTTCCCCTCCTCTCCAATCCCTTGCGCTGAGGCCATAACAACAGGACTCCCTCTCATGGCCCCATTCCATCTCTCCTTTTCACCTGTATCTCCCTGCCCACTGCACCAAGAAATCTTTGTGGGAATGCTCCCAAGGAAGGGGTAAGCAAAAGTGTTATGTGGGGGAGGGGGATTGAATGTGTGAGGGGAACAAGCCAGAAGCCCTAGAGACCCTCAGCCTTGGGTCCAAAAAGAGTTAATGCCCCAAGGAGACGCTGATGGTTTGGTTCATTCCAACTGGGCTAGTGCTACTCCCAAAGACAGGTGAAATTAAATTGCCTAAGTCATGCCCATCACAGTTCTGGCCCCCAAATCCCAAAGTCACAGGAACAAATAGAAAAACTTTTTTTTTTTAATTTGGGAGTCTATTGAGCAAAAAGGGTCTTTCTAACTCTGATAGACTTCTTTGTCTGTTTGCTGTAGGATACCTTCATTTCCACTGAGGTAGACACCTGTCCTTTCCCTCTGTGGCATCTGCCATGTTTGTCATTTGTTACAGCCTCTGTAGGACATGCAGAAACATCTGTCACCCCAGTCCTTACCTCTTTTCCTCAACATGCCCCCCTTTCCCAGGACAATTGTCCAGGACGCTCTCACTTATGCCAGCCTGAGGAAAGGCCAGCCGGGAGTTTTACCCTTGAACTGGACCATGCCTCCTACCAGGCTCCTCTCTTGGAGAGGGTGAGCTGGGTTGAGGAGACCCAGCCCAGGTTGCTCTGGTCCCTGACTAACCTTGCTGAGCAGAACTCACGCTGAGTCTGCCCTGCAGCATGTGTCCTTTCCAGCTCATGTCGCCCTCTTCCAGACTTTTCCTCAGAGTAGACGAGAAGGGCTCACCCACAGGTCAGCATGCCCTGGGCCAGGGATCTTACCAGCTCCCACCTCTGAGTTCCCAAACGATGGCTCTACATAGACGCTTATACCATCCTATGCCGGGCCCAGCCCTCCTGGGAGAAATTGCTAAAAATCAGGAGATACAGTCAGAAACCTCTCTAGTTCCTTTTTTCCCTCCTAAGCCTAAACTTAAATTCATGGCCCCCACCATCAACACATTCGGCCACCATGAGGAGCTGGTGGCAGAAAGGACTGGCGATTCCGTTCCAACAGCCTTAAGGAGACCATTCAGAAAACAACCGTTTATAGGACTCAGCACAGACCAACTCCTCAATTCCAGCATCACAGATCAAAATTTCCTTCTATACAAAACCACCCAGAGTTGAAATTCCTCTTAAGTTTATACAGCCATGAATGTCTCCAAGGAGAAGAAAGCAAGCAGGGTCAAAGCCAGGGAAGCCTGTGGCTTGGTAACGTGAAACCCCTCCCCCTGAACTGACCTCCTCATCTGTAAGTGAGGGGCTGGGTTTCCCAGTGGTTAGGAACCTCAGTTTTGGATTCAGAGATCCGTGGCAGGAATCACAGGTTTACCTTTGCCTGTGCGATCTGGAGCGAGTTGATTAATGTCTGTCTTACTTTTCTCCTGTAAAAACGGTGTTAATGACACCCTTGCGGGGTTATTATGAGGATTTGTTGAAATTACCTATGCGACATTCCCGCTTCGATGCTGACACACAGTCCCACTCTCTAAATGATATCTGTTGCTGCTTTTCTAACCACCAGCATCACCGCAACCCAACCAGCACCTGAGAGAGTCAGCTTGCAAACCCATCCCCTCACCCACCACACATCTCGAACCTGTCAGGCTCAGGACTTCATCTCTGTACCCAGCTTGGACATATGTCCCCTCTGGACCCCTCCCAGATGTCCTGCCCGTAGGTCTCCTCTCCCCCCACACTCAGCTGCAAAGGCTCCCAGCCCCCGCACCACCCCCTACCTGAGGGCAGAACACAATCAATCCTGAGCAAACACGTGAGAAAGCTCGTTTCTCCAGGGGGTTTGGGGGGAGAAGACTTGCCAAGTGGGGAAGTCGGGGGCCTGGCTCCTCGGCGGCTCCTCTCCCCCTCCAGGGGCTCCTCTGCCCCCCTTTTCCTCATGTTCAGGCTTCCCCTCTCCAGGTTGCTCGGGCAGCCGCATCGGGGGTCCAGGGCGATGTTCTCAGAGAGATTTGTGAGCACATCAAGGGAACGTCAGCGGTGACACTGAGGCTCTGCAAGGAGTTGACAGAAACTTACTGCCTGCACAGTGCTGGTTGATCATTTACTCAGTCAGTTGCCTAAATAATTCACACCCTCCCTCCCGTGTTTAAACAGGACAATGGTAGGAACACAATCCGGACGCAAGAAATACAATTACAGTCGTGACAGTTGTTTAGTTATTAATAAGGCCTCAATGTCACCAGAGGGTGTTACACAATAAAACAGTCATGTGCCTTTGGAACCAACCTTAATATTTACAGGTACTTTTCCATTCACACTCCCATGGGAACTGCTGTAGTAGAAGCGATGGGGAGAGAGTTACAACCGCCAGCATGATTGCAACTCGCAAGAAAGCCCAGCTCCTTGCCAACATCATTTGTTTCCTTGCTGTTGGCATCAACAGAGCCACAGAAACGAAGTTGGGGGCAGAGTTAGGGATAGCTGCCTTACGGAGAAGATTCTTGCCAAAGCACCTAAGCCTGGGCTGCTACTCATGATCCCAAGGCAGGGTCATCCTAACTTCCTTAGACAAAGCAAAGAGCATCCAGGACCAGAGTCCCTTTATGTCTCCAGTCCAGACTTGATTCCCACACGGAGGGAGCCTCTGCATTCCTTGGATGTCACCCTCTCTCCCCGACATCTGGTTAACCCCTACTTGTCCTTTACAAATCCACTCAGGTTAAGGCACCTGACTGGGTTTAGGCACCCCTCATCTGTGCCTACTTTGGTTGCTGCACGCAGTCTGTCTCTCTCTTCCCCCGACACTGCATTGAGAAAAGCTCCAGGCAGAGAGTCATTCCGATGCATGCTGTGTCATCTGGGCCCAGGCAGGGACAACCTTAAAATAATTGGTGCCCAATAAACACTTATTAAACTCACATTTAATCAATATTGGTTCTCTTGATTGACATTTACAAATTAGTAACAAAACAAAGAATCTCAAGGGATGTAAAGTACAGAATGTAACTGGAAGCATTTTGGTGATGAAAAGAATGAGCCTTGGCATCAGGGATGGAGTCCTCGTCCGAGAACGCTGGCCCCAGGGGATGGCCGCGCATTGCAGCGGGCAGTGGCCTCTCCCTGCAACAAGCAGCCCCGTCCTGGCAGCTCAGGCTGCGTATCCCTGCTCAGCTTCCATCCTCTTGAGTCTGACCAGAGGTGCATTTCCACACCTGGGAAGTGTCCTTCTGTGGAAGCTGGCCCTTAGGAGGCGGGACTAAGAAGATGACCTTAGGAAGCATGAAGCCTTGCAGAGAGGTGTGTGCAAATGTCATTATTGTTGTAAGTTAGGATTGTCAATCTGTCGGTCCCATCCCAGTCAAGTGAGATAAGCTCAGCTGCAGACGTAACAAGTGTCAGTTACTGCAATGAGTGAGTGACAGACGCACAAACTGACCCTGTGCTTTGGAACCTCCACCTTGACCAGAAACCCCATACTCTAGGTCAGGGCCGGGCCAGACCGTGTCTGGGTTCTCCTGACCTGTGAGACCTCTGGCTTTCTGAGGGTCATGGCAAGGAGGTGGGCCCTCCCCCAAAAGAGGGGCTCTATCTCCTGTGACTGGGTGGAACCTCCCACAGGAACACCCTATGGAACAATAAAGGCAGAAGGCTTTTCTTACCAAACAATACAGGGTTAACACACCCATGCAACAGCACTTGTCTTCACACACACACACACACACACACACACACACACACACACACTCACACACACACATCAGTACTGTACACATATACACATGCTCACAGACCAGTCTTCAAACACTCACAAACTATGTGTGATCTCAGCCCCTATCCTAGACATACACACAGGAGGACTCACTCCACAGCCACACAGCTGTACACAGCTGCACACACCAATATACACCCTCACACACACACACACATAACTCATGCGTTCACACATACTATGGCACCTGCTTATCCACACGAGCTGCACACACACCTATACTTTTTTACTCATCTCTAGTTATCATGTTAAGTTAAAAAGGAAAGCATTTTTCCTGTGTCATTACAGTAGAAATGAAAAAAATGTGACATTTTATTTTCAGATATGCTTTTAGTTGCCATGACAGTCACAGCACCATGAAAGCTGTGATTGGTGGCAAACAGATTTTAAAAGAGCGTAATTAGCTCCCTATACACAAGACCTTCCAAATATATTGAGTGTACTTTCTCATCAGTCCCCTCCACACAGAGTGGGCACCAGGGCAGGGGCACCCCACAGTGCTGGTCTGGCTGCCAAGCCAGCTATGGGACCTGCCAGGGGCTCCGGGCAAGGATGTCCAAGCTGATGCTCACAACGGCTTGAGAACCCAATCCACTTAATTACTTGGAATGTGCTTGTAGCTCAACAGGAGCGTGGCCCTGGAGGTGACAGCTCTCCATAAAGAACATCACTCCTGCTGCTCGGCCGGCCTCTGATGCCCTTTACTGCAGCACTTACTTTGTGCCAGAAAATCACAAGCCAGGGGGCTGGCCCCAGCCAAACAGGGAGCTGGCTCCTCCAGCCAGAAGCCATCTCACCAGAATGCTCCTCTGCAGGTCATGGCTGGCCTGACACACAGCAGGGGAAGCCAAGCTGCCCTCCACGGGCTGGGACTGGCCAACTACAGCCAACTAATGGAGTTGCCTAAGGTGGCATCTGCATAGAAGATGAACCTGCATCTCCCCATCGCTCTAGGAGCTTCTCGAAGAGCAGAGCCATAATGCACACACCTCCCAAGTCCTCAGTGGCCTTGTGCACCTTGGCACCCACCGTAAATACCTACTGAAAAGTGAGTCTTGGTCCTCAGATTAACGGGTTGGCTCATTTCCTGTTGAGATTCTTAAGGGCAGGTAAATTCCAGAATTTCCCCACTAAGTCCATTTACCTTGATAATCATCTGAAAGGTCAGCCAGGAGCAGGTTTGTGAGCCCAAGTCCCGAAGTTAGAGCTTTGTGCTAATGCCTGGACCCACATTAGTGTCCTTTCCAGATTTGTTTCAGCAAATGACCCCATCAACTTCCTTCAGCACCTGAAATGTTCCGAGAACTGGTCCCTCGTGTGAGGCACTCCCAGCCCCCCAGAAAGTGACATTGATTTGGTTCTGCCCTCAAGGTGTTCCATCAGCTCCATCACTTTTACCAACCCATGTTCTTGATGTGGTCAAGAACATGGCTAATTGGCAACTTACAATAGCTAAGATCTGGAAGCAGTCCAAGTGCCCATCAGCAGATGAGTGGACAAAAAAGCTATGGTACATTTATACCATGGAATACTATGCAGCAGTAAAAAAGAAGAATCTCTTACCCTTTGAGATAGCATGGAGGGACCTGGAGAGTATCATGCTAAGTGAAATAAGTCAGTCAGAGAGAGATAAGTATCACATGATCTCACTCATATGTAGACTCTAAGTAACAAAATAAACTGATTAAATGGCATGGATCCAGAGACATGAAAACATGGAACAGAGTGCAGAATCTCAGAGAGAAGGGCGGGGGTAGGGGGGGGGACTGCACGGGTGGGAGGTAATCAACCAAGGGACAAGGGGTTGGGGTGGGCTAGAGGGGGTCAATGGAGGAAAAAGAGGGATATATGTAATACTTTCAACAATAAAGAATTATTTTATGTGTGTGTGTGTGTGTGTGTGTGTGTGTGTGTGTGTGTATATGATAAAAGCCTAAGTGACCGTTATGGCAGACGACCAGAATGACCGGTCGCTATGATGCTCACTGACCACCAGGAGGCAGATGCTTAACGCAGGAGCTTCCCCCTGGTGGTCAGTGCACTCCCACAGGGGGAGTGCCACTCAGCCAGAAGTCAGCTCACGGCTGGTGAGTGCAGCTGCTACGGTGGGAGCCTCTTCCGACTCCGCGGCAGCACTACCGAGTGGCGGCAGCAGGCACAGCGGGCCGGGATGAGTGCAAGCAGTGCGGTGCCTGGCCCCGATTCAGGCTCCTCCCTGGCCACCTGCTGCTTGGCACACTGCTACATCCCCCGAGGGGTCCCGGACTGCGAGAGAGATGTCCAACTGCCGGCTTAGGCCCGATCCTGATGCCATTCTCTGTAGAAGGCAGTCAGTCTGAACAACTCAGTGACTCAGGGAAGCGCAGGAAATTCAGGGTGAGCCTACCTCTGCGCTTGACTTGCCCACTCAATGGTGTTCGCAGGACAGATCGTGGTGGCCCAGCCCGTGCACGTACAGCAGCTGCTGAAGCTCAAGCAGCAGGCCATGCAGCAGCAGCAGGCCATCCAGCCACAAGCCGGCAGGCAGACATCCCCCAAGAGGTCCCAGACTGCGAGAGGGCACAGGTTGGGCTGAAGGACGCACCCCCCCCAGTGCACAAATTCGTGCACTGGGCCTCTAGTCTATATATATAAGGCTAATATGCAAAGTGTCCCCTCAGGAGTTCATCCGGGAGACAGGAGACCGATCACTCACTATGACATGCACTGACCACCAGCGGGTGGTGCAGAACAAAGGAAGGCCCTGGCCAGCGGCTGGCAGCCAGGGAAGGGAGGCCCTGGCCAGCAGCCAG